GCTGCCTCTAATATTTAGTTCAAAGTACCATGGTTTAGGTTTTGTCTTGGGATACTGGTAAATCAAACTCATTTCTACACTTAAGTGTCTTTTTACTACAGATGCTTGTATACAGTGCAAGAGGTGCAGTGCTGACTAGACTATCACATCTTTAGAATTGTAGATTTATCCAAGCGTTCAAGAAAGAGTTCTGCTGTGTTACCACAAGTAGTGGGTGTAAATTCAGCTTCAACTTACTCCAGGCTTCCAAATTCTGTAATATGTACAGACTCAAACATTGTTATAGGAGTTGACTTCTTGTGCCTTAGCAGATTTGTCAAGCAGTTACCAAGCAATCTTATCAATTACTTCTTTCAACAGCCCTTTCCATGGGGAGATGGGAACAAAACTCTGTTTCACAATCCTCATGCTAATCCTCTCCCAACTGGCTATGAAGAGGATCACTGAACACTTGGACCACAGCAGCAATTTGGACCATTGCTCTATTTGGACCAGAACGTTGTATGGGACCCTCAATCTAAACAATATTCTGCATTCCTTGTACTGTCAAGTTATAAATGGCATTCTGACCTTTAACCCTGTACTTGAAGTGGAGGTCACTTAACATAAATAAATCCTAACTTACCATTTGTGTGTGGACCTTTGTAAAGAACTGGAAATCCTTGATCTAGTCTTTTCCCAATACTGTTTACGGATAGTTTATTGCTAACAAACTCTTCTTGGATGGCTGGAAAGGGTTTTGTAGGCAATAGTGTAGTGAGAGGGATTTAATTGCTGCTTATCTCCTTTAAGTAGCCATGACAGGTAAGAGTGTTTACTGCTTTATGGCCTATAACAGACTAATGGTAAGAATGCATACTAGAAAACCAAACTCTTATGTAAGCAACAGAATTGGATCTAAATGATAATTGATTTTTCTCCCTAAGCCATTAATAAGATAAAATTCTTGAAAGCTACTGAACTGAAGTTGTTTAATGGGAACTGTCATGCCATATCAGAGCAGTGGTCCATCTAATATAGGGGGTGGTCAGCCACTAACTACTGCTTTTAAAGGAAGATGCAAGAAATCCTACATTGGATAACTCTAGAACACTAATGCATCCATAAGCAAACATAGTCTCCATAAGAGGTCTACTCTAGTAGACATCACTGTCTTACCCAGCTGTAATACTCCTATATTGTGACAGAGCAAAGTTCTACTCTTGCAGCATCCTGAAGAATTTGCACTGTTCCGCACCCAACAGTACTTCTCATGCCTTGTTTTCCCTGTGCAATTTTGCCAAATGGCTTTATAATCTAATACTGCTTCATACATATGTTACTGCATAAGTTAGGGCCTAATGTGCCCAATTAGGAGTGAGGTGCTGTGCAAATTCATAACTAAGCTGTCCATCATGGACAACAAAGCAGCAACACACCTGTGCAAGAAGCTTCCTTTTAATTCTAACTAGTCTGTTCTGAAGCAGCAGTGTTTTCATATTCTACCATAAATACAAAGTGTTATCCTACAGCAGCTGAGAAGATATTCAAAAATAAGTTCTAGGAGTGAGCTCTTTAGGGATGACTTCGTAGTACTAACAAGAATCCATGCTGTAACGCAGACAATTCAGTTTAGCCAAAGCTGAATCCTTCTTGGCCTTACACTTTCCATGAATAGGTCCCACCCATTCATTGTGGCAAACTTAAAAAAAATAAAACAAGCTTAATTCACAAATGAATGGTAGTACTACCTAGATGATGCAATGGAGCAACAGCTTGTTTTCTACTATGTTTCTGTACTTACCAGTCACTTTAGTAGAGTCTTATTTCACTACTGCTCCTTTAGAACATTAAAAGCTAAAGCACAGGTCAGGAGTATTCTAGCTGCAGAGTTTGAAAGACAACTGACTACATATAGAACATAATATAGGCCAGAACTCTTATTCTGCAGGGACTGATGGCTTTGTCCTCACCGTGAGTAAGTTACTTATTATAAAAATAAGTTATAGAAGCAAGCATATATTCCCCCAATACAGTAAAAGGAAAAGCTAATTTATACTGCTCAGGGATCAGTACTACCCTTCTCTAAAGAGTTTCAGCGATTCTGTTCCTACTTATCTTCTAGCTGGAGGGAGAATGGCAAATGATCAGCCAATACAAGAAAAATTCTACAGTGAACATGACAAGACACTATTTCCCCCCATTTCACAATATTTATTTCATCCCCATTATCACAGCCCACACAGCATCTTAGCAGAATACATGTGGTTGTTAAAGCAAGCTTCCCCCTATGTTAAAGCTCAGTATAAGGCACTTTCTGGCTTAATCGCATTAGCTGAAACTGTTTTTCCACAGTTGGGATAGTAATACTCTTAACACTAGCACGACTGCCTCTTTTCTCCTACCGAAAACACTTCACTGAGATGAAGTGCAAGCTGCAGCCAGGGACTACAGTGCACATTATCCTTAAAGAATGTTAAAAGTTATATCTCAAACAGCATTCCCAACCGACATTAATTCTGCCTCAAACAATGCCACCCTACCACCTCCCTTTCTCTGCATGGAATGCTCCAAAGAAAACTGGCCTTATAGCTTGTTTCATATATAAATGCCTGATATTTATTGGTGACTTTTACCATACTATTTTTTTTCTTGTTAGCTCTCAGTCTGGGTGTATGAGGCTGAAATATAAGCTAGTGCTGTTTCTAATAATACTTGGAGAACAGGGTGCTAGCCCCTTACAGGATCAAACTGATTCCATTTAAGTTTTTGCTGTAGGAAGCTGAATGCCCTCAGCAGCTAGTAGAATCAGGCCCATACTGAAGACAGTGGGAACGATTGGCTCCCATATGCTATGCTTAATTTTTTGGGGTGCTATGTATGGCCATACAGCCCCTTAAGGTATTCAAAATGTTATGGTCACTGGGCTAATGAAACTTTTGAATACATAATATCACAGGAGTTCACTATTCTCAGAGCATCACTAGGGCAGTTAAGGTAGATCAGGGACTTTGTTTGAGAACTGCAACCTTAACTGTATTTTCTGGAGGTTTTTTAATGGTAGTATGTACTTACAGCGATTAAATAGCTGAAATATTAACTCCATTTTACTGAAGTTATGGACATTTCTTTAATGAGTTTTTTTAAATTGTTATGAGGACTAGTAAACAAACTCAGTTTCTGCAAACTCTAGTGACCTACAATAGTAGGCACACTGCAGCCTCCAGAAAGTCCAGGAGATAAGTCTGCTTTCATCGGTTGGTCAAAAGTCTCATGTATCATCCTCTCCGCCAGAGTACGGTGGCTGCAGTTCTCCTCTGGTCTGTAATAAAGAAGCTCCAATTCTTACAAAAAGTCTTATTAAGATAAAGGTTTTTCCCCATGTTTAGAGCCTAGAAGGTGCCTAGGAACAGAGCTCCTGTCCTATTAACTAACTCCTTTCCAAAGGACTGAAACCCTCCTATGGTCCAAAAGAATGGCAACAGTTTTTAAACACATCTGGTGGAGAGGAGACTCCTTTTCTCACTCCTTCAACTGCTCCCTTTGCTCATGATGGGTTCATGGGAAGGAAACTCCCTCCCTCAACTCTTTCATAAGGCTCTGGGAAGGATTTTTTTTTTTTTTTTTTGCAAACCTTAGGTTCAGAGAAGGGGAAACTAACCGCTGTTCTGTCACCCATACCTCTTGCTTTCTCCAGTTACATTAAGGTCTAGAGAAAAAAAAATCCATTCTTGAAGACCTCCAGAGGGATTTAGGAAGGAAGGGCTAGGGGCAGGAGGGGAAGCTTTGTTTTTCATAGACTTCAGGTTGACTTGAGTTAAAACGCACCATCAGGAGCTTCCTTATGGAAAAGTCTTTTTCAGTAGGAAGACTAGAGGGCAAGGTGCATTGCTGTAAGGAAGAGGGCTAAACAAAAAAGTCTCTAAAGAAATTTGGAAGACAAGCTTAGTTCTTGACTAATCCTTTACATGCTACACTAAGATCACCATTCAACAGTTCCTGATATTACTACATCAAAATTTAAATAACTCTTGACTTCAGCCAGCTAAATTTTGGTTTAGGACATTGATATATCCCTGCATGAAAATTAAAGTTGCATTTCTCCCCCTCCTTTCAGATTTATTATTACAAAGCAGGAAGACAAACTTCCAACTGACAGTTGGGTACTGTTTTAGGGCACCATAAGGCAGGAACCCCTTAGATATTTGAATTAGACAACTTAAGCAGACATCTAACTTCATGATTTTGAGGCTAATCTGTGGAGTGTTTTGGGGCATGTAGGGGGTGCCTGTTGGAGAAGGACAACTGAAGTGTAATTGAATTGCTGTTGAAGCTTTATTTATGGGGCAACAGCCATTCAGTAGCAGAGTTAAATTCAAGGTTGCTACCAGTGCCTTTCAACTCCGCATAGACTGTTGAAAGTACCTTCTGAAAGCAGTTGCTCCTGTTCACTTCTGGGACAGGCTGGCCCCTTTCCATCTTAAAGGACACAGGCAGGTTTAATTGGACAATTGTCTCATTTAGTCAAGCATAACTTTACTTAACAGATGCATATTCTATATTAAAACAACACCTTGTGTATTCAAACAAAAATCATTGCAACTCCAGCAGTGGTATTTCTATGACACCACTACAGTTGCACAATAAGAAGCAAAGCTGTAGCACATCAGTTTTCAGGAAAACTGAAACCAACTCTATCCCCATAAAAATCCAGCAGCACACTCCCATAAGTAAATTATCCCCTTTCACATTAATTTCAGCATTTAAAAATGGTCTATTATAATATAAATAAAAAAGCAACTGATCATAGACCAGCTAATATCTAAACCCATTTCAATAAATATTCCCCTGTTCAGAGTACATTCACTTATCATAGATTGATAAAAAGGCTTTTCACACACCGCATAATGCCAGACCACCAACAACATTCATTTAAGATGAAACAGTAATTGCCACACAACCTAGCTGAAAGAAACTGCAGAAAAGACTTCTTGCTTCTTAAAAAGCCAGGCAGAAATAACAGCTAATCCAAGGCAATCTTCTAGTCTTTGTGAGGTTCTTTTTCCAAGTCCAAAAGGTCATTGTAATGGCACAATATGCCCAAACAAGGTCAGGAGGAGTTTTCAGCTTTTCCTTTACTGGGACCCATGAATTCCAGTCCTTCAATGGGTATGTCTTTCTCCTTAATAGCTTTCTAGGAGGGAAGAAAAAAAGAAAAAGAAAAAAAAGGCAAATTTGTTTTAATAATGTTTTGTGGTTCTACATGAAGACATGTTCCCTGCCTGATATAATTTAAGACCAATCAAGGTTGCTATTAAGGTTTCCATCAAACTATACCATCAGAGATGCTCAAAGAGATACTGCGAACATAGTATGAATTGTAGCCAAGACTCCATCAGATAAATTTATTCAAGCCCTTGACCAAACACTTCTCATCCATATGTTAGAGGAATTACACCTGGTGCGGTGAGTGAAAGAGAAGCTAGAGGGACCTGAAGACAACGTCTCAGTGCTGTGAGCAGAAGAACCAAGGCAACAGATCAAGTTTTCATGGAGTAATGCATTGTGAAAGAAATTGACAGGATGACTGTTACAAAAGCACCAACGGCCTGATCTTCCAACTTGAACATCAATAATAGTCTGTAAAGCTTCATGTAGGAGGGACGTGGAAGAAAGGGAGGAAAGAACTATTACATGTTAAAAATGTGTATATATGGAGAAAAAACACAAGTAAAGGTGACTGCAATTAAGCTTTATAGGAGAGATTAAGGAACGTACAGACAGTTTTATATCATAGAAATATAGGACTGGAAGGAACTTTGAGATGTCATGAAGTCCAGCGCCTTGCGCTGCACCAGGACCAAGTAAACCTACAACATCCCTAACAAGTGTTTGTCAGACCTGTTCTTAAAAAAATCTTCAGTAATGTGGATTCCATAATCGCCCTTTGAAGCCTATTCCACAGTTTAACTGCCCTGACAGAAAGTCTCCACACCCCCAATATCTATTCTAGATCTCCTTTGCTGCAGATTAAGTCCATTCTTTCTTGCCCTACCTTCAGTGGACATGGAGAACAATTCATCACCGTCCTTTTTATAAGAGCCCTTAACATATCAAAGTTTTTATCAGGCCACCCTTCCCCCTCTTTCAAGACGACACACACACAGTTTTTTTAACCTTTCCTCATAGGTCAGATTTTCTAAGTATTTTATCATTTTTGTTACACTCCTCCTGATGAAGCCATATTGGCCTCTTACTATTCTTATCTTTCCTTCACCTGGGGATAGTTTGTCTCCTGGAGAAACTGCCAGGACTCCTGAACTATTCCCCCCACCACACACACTTTAGATTTTCTTCCCATGGGACCTTACCTACCAGTTCTTTGAGTTTGTTAAAGTCTGCTTTTTTAAAATCCTTTTTCCTTATTCTGCTGCTCTCACTCCTTCCTTGCCTTAGAATCAAGAAATCCATAATTTCATGATCACTTTCACCCAAATTGCATTCCATTTTCAGATTCACTATCAATTCCTCCCCATTAAATCAGAATCAAATCTAAAATGGCTGTCCTCCTGCTTACTTCCTCTGCTTTCTGGGGAAAAAAGTTGTCCCCAATACTTTCCAGTAACTAACTGGAAATTTTGTATTTTGTCATATTACTTTTCCAACAGATGTCCACATAGTTCAAGTCCCAGGATACTACCAGGTCTTTTGGATATGGAGATGTCTGCTTCATTTATAAATGTCTTATCCACCCTCTCTTCCTGATTTGGAGGTCTATAGTAGACCTCTACCATGTCGTCTCCCTTATTTTTTTTTTACACCTTTTTTCTTTACCCAGAGATTCTCAAGTGAGCTTCCTCCCATTTTCTTGTAGACCTCAGAACACGTGTGTGTAATACATATACTGTAAGTCAATGAAAGTACGAAAAGCTGCGCACTCCGGTGGATCAAAGCAAGTTCGATAGAACGTGGTTTCACCTATAACGCGATAAGATTTTTTGGCTCCCGAGGACAGTGTTATATCGAGGTAGAGGTGTATATTGGAATTGGAAAAGGTTCAGAAAAGGGCAACAAAAATTATTAGGGGTATGGAACAGCTGCCGTAAGAAAAGACAATAATAAGACTGGGACTTTTCAGCTTGGAAAAAAGACGACTAAGGGGGGGAATATGATAGAGGTCTATCAAGTTATGATGGTGTGGAGAATGTGAATAAGGAAGTGTTATTTACTCCTTCTCATAACACAAGAACTAGGGGTCACCAAATGAAAAATTAATCGGCAACAGGTTTAAAACAAAGAAAAGGAAGTATTTCTTCACACAACACACATTCAACCTGTGGAACTCCTTGCCAGAGGGTGTTGTGCAGGCCAAGACAGTAAAAGGGTTCAAAAAAGAACTAGATAAATTAATGGAGGATAGGTCCATCAATGGGTAGGGATAGCGTCCCTAGCCTCTGTTTGCCAGAAGCTGGGAAATGGGCAACAAGAGATGGATCACTTGATACCTGTTCTGTTCATTCCCTCTGGTGCATCTGGCATTAGCCACTGACAGGATACTGGGCTAGATCAACCTTTGGTCTGAACCCGTAAGGCCGTTCTTATGTCTGAAACTTAAATTCCCCCCTGCATAAGAAGCAATTAAAGAGAGGGGAAAGAGAGGTCATCACTAATGTTTGAGAATTTAATACTGTATGAGTGAGTGAAATATTCTATCAGTACTGACAGTAATAAAACAAGATACACACACACTGTGGTAATTATGAATAGAGTCTCTATAACATCAAGTCTCTCAGATTAATGTGGGTCTCAAATGAAGGGAAGTTTTGAAGAAAATGAGTCAAATCTGACTGATGCTTGTCCCCAAGAAGTCTTGAAAATTATGAACATTTTAATAAGATTTTAAATTTCTCATCACAAGTGATTTTCTTCAAAATACTTAGACCTACTGTAATACCTGGATCTCAAAACACTAAGGAATTTATCTTCACAACACTAACCTTCTGAGGTGGATAAGTTTATCCCCATTTCACAGATAGTTTATCTGAGCGCTGGCTTTGCTAAGCGATTTCACCAGGGTAACACAGCAAGCCATCCTCTTCCCTCTATTGTACTCACCAGTCACTTTGCCCCAGTAATGCCCAACGGAACCAAGCCTTCGCAGCCTGCTCAAGGGCAGGCGGGGCCTGAGCGCCGCCGGCTGAGACACCAACTTGCCCAACGCAGCGCCTGGCTGGGCAGGGTGTGTGCGGGGGAGGGGGCCCCTTTCCCCAGGGATGGAAGAGGAAGCCCGAGGACACACTCGCCCCGCCCCGCCCCCACGGCAGCTCGCTGCCCCCCGCCCCCACCTGCACGCAGAGCTGGTAGCGCTTGAAGAGCTGCACGCAGGGGTCCCCCGCGTTCTCCCCCTTCAGGAACTTCTCGGCGAACCAGCGGTTGAAGCACTGGTCATACTCGCGCTTCAGCTCCGTGCAGGCCTCCCCCACGCTGTTCATGACGGAGCCGCGGGCCCGGGGAAGCGACCGGGCCTCACGCCGCCCTTCCCCAGAACGAAGCCGCCGCCGCCGCTGCTAAGAAGTGCGGCGTTCCCCACTGACGCGTTTCCCGTTCTCTTAGGACGCTGGTAAGCGCAGCGCGATGACGCACATCCGCTCAGCTGCCTGAGACTGCGTCCCCGGATGCGGAAGTCCGGGGGTGGGAGAATGTGGATTCTGCGGTTCGGCCGCTACATCAGGGGCGCTCCCTCGGGAGGAGCCTCGTACTGGGGCGGCCTTTCCCCAGGACGCCGCTTCACGCAGGCTGCTGCGGGAGGGAGTGACGGCCGGCAGGACGCTGCGGGGGACCCACGGCGGAGGGGCCGGGTGAGACCCCGGAGCCACACAGGAGGGGCTTCGGTTCGCTCCCATGATATATCCGATGGATGTCGCGCATCCGGGGTCTTCATCCATTGCAGGCTTTACAGCAAGACACGTGGGGCTATCAGCCACCCGCCCCAGGAGGGAAGGAGAATCGGGGATCCTGTCATGAATGGGATGTTTAATCGACTGCCCCCATCCAACCTCCATACAGGCGGTGACAGTAGCAAAGAGACACCTTGTAGGAGTAGTGGTCAATGGGTGACAGTTACAAGCGGGAGCCTAGCATGATGACAGCAGAATACATAACACTGGATACGTCTGTCGACCAGAGCGACTCCCAAAGCTACATACAGGAATCAGGATCCATTCAAGGGGCTACACTTAGTGTATTGTCACATACAAATACAGCAAGGAGACTGTAACTAGAAGACAGAGTTTATAATGTATCTAATTTTCAAAACTTTTATTAGTCAAATTAAAAGCTGCAAAACAATAGATTACAAAATATAATCCACTTTTTACATTAAATTAATCAGGAGTAAGAGGAACATGAGTAATAAATCAGCTAGCAAGTTTCAGGCAGCAAATATTGTTTAATGTTTAAAGCATAAGACTAGGAGTTAGACTCCTGGATTCTGTACCACAATCTTTGTGATTTGCCAAAGGGACAAATAAGATTTCAGTAGGCTTCCCTGTCCTTAAAGCATTCTGACATGCCCTGAGGTGCAAAAGTGCAAAGTATATTTTGTTTTGCATCAACTGATTCATCACTACAGCCAATCTTTCAACTTTATTTCTTGGTACATGTGGGTTTGGTTTCATTCTCCTCTCTAGGGCTAATTTCCCCTACAAAATATAATCCATTTACAAGTATTTTAGACAATGTGTCTATGATCTGAGATTATTCACCCTAAATATTCAAACTGCTGTTGCATATTTATCACTGCCCACCTCTTCCACTTTAGGTCTACCAGAATCCAACATGGCAGCATGTGGAACAGAGACCACTCCCTGAGGTATGGTGAATTCAGCAAAACATTTAAACAGACCTGGTCAATGTAACTTCCTCTGTTAGCTAGTAACTGCAATATTGAGAGGAAATAATGGTACAATTAATTACATCCCTCCAAATCAAAACTCAGGACAGTTTCTCTAAACCCTATACCCAACAGTGCTGCCATGTTAGTGCAGATTGGAACTTGAAAGACAGAGCTACACAAAATAAGTTGTCATTAATTTTCAAATTAAACTGAAATAATTAAACTAACCCTACGGTGTTCTGGGGCAGCATTTGTTTAAATCAAGTGTTCTTGTGATAGCATTAAAGTTCATAGGTCACTCAAACTTACAGAGGCAGATCTCAGCTGCTATAAATTGTCAGGCTCCACTGAAGTCAACAGAACAATGACAATTTACCCAAGTTGAGGATCTCCCCCACATTGCTAGATCTATGGAGAGAAGATCAATGGCTACGATAATGCATTCTTTGGCTCCTCTAGCCCAGTGGTTCTCAACCAGGGGTACGTAGAGGTCTTCCAAGGGGTACATCAACTCATCTAGTTATTTGCCTAGTTTTACAACAGGCTACATAAAAAGCACTGTCAAAGTTAGCACAAACTAAAATTTCACACAGACAGTGACTTGTTTATGTTGCTCTATATACTATACACTAAAATTTAAGTACAATATTTATATTCCAATGGATTTATTTTATAAGGTTAAAATGAGAAAGTAAGCAATTTTTCAGTAATAGTGTGGTGTGACACTTTTGTATTTTTACGTCTGATTTTGTAGGCAAGTAGTTTTTAAGTGAGGTGAATCTTGGGGGTACTCAAGACAAATCAGACTCCTGAAAGGGGTACAGTATTCTGGAAAGGTTGAGAGCCACTGCTGTAGCCAGCTACCTTGTGGAGTTGTGTGTATTGGTTATAAGAGTAACAGCTCTTTTGACTTACCTCTGCTAGACACCAAATGAGGAGGGGAATCTGATTCATACAAACAGCTGGGCACTCGTGCTACTTTGTTGTATCCATTCGGCAGTGTGCTTTTTAGGAGCTTCTAATCTGGTTTCACTAAAAAGATGAGGAAATATAAAATACAGCAAAATATCAAGATGCTCAAATATAATAAAATAGTTTATTTCTTGAACAAGAAATGCTTTTACTCTAAAGAATTTTAGCAGCAATATTTATAGCTTACTCATCTCTGCCCACACCAACTCATCAGTATGTGGCAGTCTCCTTCTAGGACCTAGATCTGTGACTTTGTTTCCTTCCTTTTGCAGAAAAAAGTAACTGTGGAGGTGTTTGATCACCTGGAACGTCTGGCACTAGTTGACTTCCGCAACTGGGAGGGTGTACAACGGCTGGAGAAAGCAATCCAATTTGCTGATCAACTTCATGCTGTTAACACAGAAGGGGTAGAACCAATGGATTCAGTACTAGAGGACAGGTAACAAATCATGGCTAGTGACCTGCTTATCTGTTAACTTACCAAGTTGTTTATTACACCCATAGTCTCAACAGAAACACTGTTTTCACTAATCATCCCAGCTATGAAACTGGTCCCTTTTCCACAAAAACTTTATCTAGTGTTCTACGTCAATGTGGTTCTATGTAGGAAAAACATCTGTGTAATGTCCCTGATCTAGGCACAGAAGCATAACAAAGATGTACTCCAATTCCTTAATGTATCTTGCACGGATTCTTCATGTCACAACATGCTGTCCCCCAAATGCCCTGGAACAAGATCCTCAGTCACTTCAAAATGTGTTTATCCCTGCTGCTCTTGATACACAGGCTGCCTACTTTGTACTGCTGTCACTTCTTCTGCAGCTTTAGTTGGTCAAGAAGTCAGCTTGACTGTACATTTTCATATAGGGTTTGTCTCACTCAGCTTTTTACAAAGTAGTGCCAATAATCTTGAGCAGTAAGTCCAATGCAGTGCTTCTGTGCTTGTGTCCATGTACAGCTCAGTGCTGAAGGTCCTGCTGATTTGAGGACATTGGGAAATTTCCCAAGGTTTCACTGTAGTTTACAATAGATCATTTGTACGTGGAGCCTGATCAGCTAACTGAGCTATAGGACAGGCAGGAGGGAAGTTGAGATCGCTCACCTATGTAAGATATGCTAATAGCATTCTGAACTGGAACAAGCTTAGAAAATTAATGTTAATTGTTTGAGAACCAAGCAATCTCCCCCTGGCTCTAGGGGCATGACTTTATATCCAGTACCAGATGCTCCTGTACTTAGTTGGCAAAGAAGGTAGTCTCAGAAATTGCTAGTAGTCTCCTGTGCTCCTCAGATGTCTGTATCTCAGAGAAGATAACATCACAGAAGGCAACTGCAGTGAGGAGCTGCTGCGAAATGCCAGAGAAACAGTTGAGGAATATTTCATAGCCCCACCAGGTACCATCTTTTTATATATAACTCATTTGGACTTGATAAAGCCCAGGTAGATGGCTTGAGCTGGTTTGAGAGATGTAACCTGCCACAGTTGAATGCACTGGCCAGTAGCAGGAAGATACTGAAATAGGGCAATGATAGCTTTGGCCACCCAGGGGGAAACACAGGCGTCTAGCTCTTTATTACTTGGCCAGTAGTGGTGTAGCAAGTAAAGGGTTTTATCCTACCCTAATGTTATTGCACACATTTGACTTGTTCTAAGAGATAACTGTCTGTAAATTAAAGTGGAGCTTGTTTGCAGGGGAAAAGCTAGTCAGCTGTAAGTTTTTAAAGCGAGCCACATGGGCAAGTGTATGTTTAGTAGTAGGAATGACTAATGAGCAGTTTGTCTCATGCTATCATTGTTTGTTTTGTTTGCTAATAGGTAACATCCCTTTACCAAAGCTAGAGGAGCGAGATACTTTTCTGCAAGTATCCGAGTGAAAGTCAAGGTCTGGAATGCCACTTCAGCTTTTAAGTCATCTGTGACAATTGGCATATATGCAACCATGGCTATGGAATATCTTGATGCAAGTGTCTAATCCCAAGAATAACACCCTCACAAAATTATTTGATTTTTCTTCCTTCCTTTCTTCTGTAAGATTACTTTGAAATTAAAGGTTTGGAGTATTTTTCTAGTATATACAAAGGTGGAAGGCTGTGGGCCATTTACAAGTCTAGAAATTTGGCCTCAGTGCCTCTGATTAGTCTGTATTTGGTGAAGCTTTCCAAATGTCAACCTTGAAAATATCATGCACAGTTAGCACTCTAGACACAACAGCTGCCTACATCAACCCTGCTGATTGGGGGAAGGAAACTGGTACTATTTTACTGTCAAATTACTTAAGCAGAATGAGTAGAATGTTGCAGTACTTAGATTAATTTGGAGCTTCTCCCATCTTGTCACTCAGTGATCTGATACTTACCCAAAGTCCCACATAGGAGAATGCTACATAAGACTGCTTTTTGCCACTACTCACTTTTCCCTACAGACTAAGAAAGCACTTGAACTTTCAATCTTTATGAACTTTTTTGCTTCTACCAAGTACCTCCATGTCAACGCTGTATCTTGTTCCACATCTATATACACTGCACTCTATCCAGTGCTTCGTCCAGTTTTGTGCTTGTAAATTAGTTACAACCTAAATACAATTTTAGGTTGTATAGGAAATGTGCTGGTTCCTTAAGTGAAATAATGGCTTTAGGCTGGAGATCCTTGCTCAGACAGAAAATTAGAAAGATTCTAGGGCCATTATGAAAGTGTATTAAAAAAAGAC